AGGGTTTCTCCCAGGGATTTCTGATTTCATCTACGGATTTCTGGTTATAGCTTGCCGATCTGACAGACCACACAAGTAATTTTAGTACACGGGAGATACACGGTGTAGATGTTCTGCAAATAGTCTTTTGTTAATGTTTGGAGTATTTAAAAAGTGGATAGTTTTATTTTTATAATAAAAGATTTTAGGCCGTTTTTATAATCTTCCAAGCATTTTATTGATTTTTATAGCTATTATGTTTACGGGATTAATTGTTGGAAATTGCAGTCAGGTTGCTGAATGGCATAAAGGTTTTTATATAAAGATCAAATTACCTGGAGATACTTTGTTCTGCCTGTGAATTTCTTTTGTCTCTTTGTTAACTGCCTTCTTTGGTAAGTCCTCTTTCTGGACAGACTACGCTGAAGCACAGTTCGTCCCAGACAAATGGAAGTTTTCAGCAGCTGCAGTTTTTGAAAAAGCTGATAGGAGGAAATGTTATTTATAACTCCCTATAAAAGCTCCTCTCTAATGCGTGACAATCTGCATGTGGTCTCCTGCTCTCCTACAGTAACCTAGGGGACACTTTGCAGGTGAAGGAGGCTTTAATCACTGGGTTGCCTGTACATTTCCTGGAGGATGATAAAAGCATTTCTCATGTTATCACTAACTTTTAAATGTAACATGATGTTTTCCCATCCCTCTTAGGAACATGAAGCAAGTAAAGCTAGATTTTCTCACATCCTTCCATGGAGAAGTAATTTGCTGCACGTCAAGGGCGGTAGTAAAGATAGCAGGCATTCTTATGAAGCATTTAAATTCCAAAACTTGGAAAACTCATTTCATGGGATAGAAGGATAGGAGTAAATTTCCAGTTTTCCACAGGAGGTGGCAGCATTTTGAAGCACTGATGTGAGCTTGCTAGCAAATGTCACTTTGCTGAAAGAACACAAACTTTACAGAAATTCACCGTCCTCAGAAGTTGTGGTGAATATGAATGGGAGTGCTTGGGCACGGGTTTGCTGTGGAACTAGGCAGGGAGGAGGAACTGCCTTCACATAGGGGGAGCAGGTGGGTAGAACAGATTTAACCGCAGAAGAATTTTATGTTCCTTTAGCCTTGTTTACCGCTACTGTAATACTGCTGGGGTGCCTCTGGCCTGCAGCTAAGTGAAAAATGCCGTTTTTCACAGAGGCAGTAACTCAGCTGATACATGGATGATCAGAGAGTGCCCTGCTGGGCTGCAGCTTCAGCAGGTGCAGTGACCCTGTGAGAGCTGTCACCAAAACGGGGAAGCCTCTCCAACTACGTTCTTCATTTTCTTTCCCCACTCACTCTCAGCAGTGTGTTCCAACTCCTTACCTCCTGCACCCTCCCTCAAGCACCTGAGGGACCCCTGGAGGCAAACAAACTTAACTGACTGAGCTGCCAGAAAATTAACCCAGTGGAAAAACCGGGTAATGTTCTGCCGGGACAAGAAAGGCTGAGGACTGTATGACTGGGATCAGGGAGGCTAAGAACAGGCAGGGGAGGAAGAAGAGCCAGCCTTCCCCTTTTGGCAAAAGGGAGCTGTTAACGTTGGCAGCTGCTTGTGAAACTGCAGCCTTAGGGTGGGCGATGTGGAGGGTTGAGCGCTTGCTCCCAAGCTGGGTGGCAGCAGCCCTGCTAGCACCCAGGTCTGGCAGCCCCGTTTGCCTGCTAACACACTGCCAGCCGGCCCTGCTGCTTATCACACACCTCACCTGAGCAAGGCGGGGCGGTGTGGGGGACTGACACCCAAGAGGCAGCGGCTGCTTAAACCTCTCAGGTGTAATTAACCCTGCCAGCACTCCTGGCGCATCAGAAGAATGCCTCGGACAGGTTAGCCAAGGCCTCCTGTGAAGCTGATTTAGACTCGTGGTTTTCTAATCACTAAATATACCGATCCTTGAAGGAACTGGAGGAGCAGCTGAGACAGCACAGGGCCCTGATTTTCATGCATTCAGCAGATTCAAAAAGCCCTACCCTCATCCAGGAAGAAGGGAGAGGCTGATTTTTGCATCTCCAGTAGAAAGAGACAGGAAAACTGGATCCTTCAGAGGAAGAGATGTTTGCCAATGAAGAACCACTGGCTGTTGTGGCTGCTAGTGCATTTAGCAGATTTTTTCCTTCTGTTGGAATGAAAATTTAAAAAAAAAAAACGTGGCTGGAGATTCTACAGCAGATTGGCTGCAGGCGTTCTTTTGCTGGCTGGTAGGAAGCACCACTAGCCTGTTGTGGGGAGGGGATCCAGCATGTCTGCTGGATGTGTGTGGCAAGCCCCTGAGGAGAGTCTTGGGCTTTTTTATACCTTCCTCTTTCTTCTTCATTGCCTTGAGCTGCTCTACTCTGTTAACTTGAAACAGTTCCCTGCTAGATCTCAGTTGGAAATGGCAACTGGCAGTAGGGAGGAGGAAAGGAGAAGCTTCCTGAACCACATCTGGGGAGTAATTCTTGAACATGGAGCCCTTTTCCAATCGCTGCAATGGTCAGTCTAGGCCTCGGAGTGGTCGTACTCTGCAACAGTCAGCGTGTTGATGCCTGAAGCGTGATACTCAGTGCTGTGTTGACAGAACCATGTTGACCTGCCTGGAGTCACCACTGCTTTATTGACGTTTTCTTGACACCAGCTCCTGTAGAGCTATAGACTGTCCTCCGCAGCCCATTCTGCCAAGTCTTGTAAACGGTGCTGTTGTATGGCTTGGTTGCTAAAACGAGCATGAATCCTCCTTCTGTTCAGTGTGAAATATATACCATGGGTTAGTTTCTCTGCATCCATAGAACCATATTTTTCTATTTGAAATTTTCAGTTTTCCCAAGTCCATTTGCCAAGAGTGGACACAATAAATTACACCTTCAAATCTTGGTCTTTATGATCGGGTACGAAGACAGCTAAGGCACAGGTGGCTCTTGGGCGACTCCCAGATAAAAAGAACAGTACTGTGCATTGACTCCAAGCACAGGTTGAGAAGAGGTGGATGTTCTGGAGCACGTATGCGATGTGTCCTGTTCTGAGCAAGGGGACTGGACTAGACAATCTCTAGAGGTCCCTCCAACTTCAACTACTATGCGATTCTGAACTAGGAAGGATGTTTTCTTTAAGAGGTGTCTGCAACCTTGGAATTTCATTTTCATTATACTCCATCTTTCCAGTAATGAGTACATTGAAAACTAACAATTTTCTGCCACTTCCAGATTTCATATCCCTGTTGCTGTCTGGATACTCAGATCACATGAAAACCCAAATAAAGACCCTATAAATGCACAGTTTTGAATAGAGGGCACGTTCTGGATTTTGGCTCACTGGTGAAACTCTGTGTACAAGGTACAAAGGTATTGCATAACAAAAACGTTTATGGCACTTCTTGCTAGCTTGTGCGTCCCCTGCCAGAACTGAGGTAGGTGTCGGCATCGTATGTTCCTAAAAATTTGACTGGGAAAGCTTGAAGATATCCCTAATAAAATTTGATTGTTGCCACTTTGCACACTGTGCTTTGTGAAATGCATTTTCCCTAATGGGGTGTAAGGAAAAACACTCTACATTTGGGGAAAAAACCTCAACTTTATAGATATTTGCTAGATGTAGCTTTACAGAGAAATGTCTCATAGGGATTTGTAGATGGGATTGGACCTAAATGAAATAAGACAGTGCAAAGAGACAGAAATTCTGCCATTAATCATATTACCTTTATTTAAACAGTAAAGTCTGCTTTTAATGTAAGTAGTTTTATTTTTATTAATACTTGATGCTGAGTTTTGAACAGTACTGTACCCAGACAATTTTACAAATATAATGCTCAATACGCTGTTTATTGCTCATTGGTTTTGTATGAACATAAAAACTAGAAATGAATGTAAGAATAAATAAGGCACCCTACTAATATGCTGATTTCATGTAGTAATTTGCACAAAATTTCACTTTGCTTTTACAAGTCACTTTTCTCATTTTCCTTATTAGAGGAAAAATAAGTTAGACTTTGTTATCTGGGCAAGGGCCAATGCTTGCCTGAAAGTCAAAACTTGAAAGCACTTCCTAATATTTTAATTTAACCTTCCACCTTACAAAAGTAGCTTTCATATAGCATGTCCCAATTTCTTTTTCTAAAGACAAAAAGTATTTTTGTTCTTCTTTTGCTGTTACTAGGAAACATGCCTTGCATGAGGACTGTTCACGTACTGCTTGAGAGAAAAGACCTGACTTGCTTTTTTATCCTCGCTTTCTTCTTGTACTGACCCCGCTCACAAGATAAAAATAAAAATGCAAAGGCATCTTTACTGACTTGTCTTGTGTGGCTGGGCCCAAACCAGGGATCAGCACGAGGTGGGAGCTCCGCAGAAGCTGCTGACAAGCCTTTTTTTTTTAATTTCAGTGTGCCCTAAATTAGGACTTCCCAACAGTTTCAAAATACGTTCTGTCCAACTGTCCTTTTTCCTCAAAGGTCCAGGCTGGCTCTCGCCCCGTTTCAGGGCTGAGGAGGACAGTGACCCCTCGGTCAGCCTCACAAACTCGGAAGCCACGAGGGCAGAAACCACTGTGCAAGGGCTGCAGGGATCTGACAACCTATTGCTGAAGTGCTGACAAAATAGCAAATAAACCAGAGAGACGGGGCTCTGACCCCCACCCCAGCTCCCAGCTTTCTTTAAATGGTTTGTTACATTCTTTTTATAAATTATCTGAAACAATAGCAGAGACAAGGGGTTTGGCTGCCTCTTTTTTTTTTTTTAATTTAAAGCAGATTATATAATAATTTCCTGATGTTCTAATGTTTACTCTTTAACTGAAATGTTCTTCCAGGGTGATATAACAGAATCATCAAGTTTACCAGTTCTAAGGAGTATGTATTACATATATGACAACACCCAGCTTTACAGGAACTTCAAAATGCAAGATGTCTTTTAATTACTAAAGTTATTACAGTACTGTTTTAAAGGAATCTTTTGGTTATATGTAAACACTATAAATTAGCTGTTGAAAAAATAATCATGTCAGACAAGTATGGCATTGACATAGTTTAAAAAACAATAACTAGCCCTAAATCTGAATACTGTCAGGGTAGAACAGCAAAAGCAGGTATCAAGCTAATGCTATGGAATATCATGCTGAAATTTTGACTTCTTTGAAGAATCAGTGCTTCTTTGCGTTCCCTCCTTCTTTTGTTTTTGTATTTTAAGGTTTTTACCATCAGTGCCCTAACGAATGGGCAAACTTGTACTTACTATGTATGACAGGATAATATATGCTATTTTGAGTGTTGCCATTCTAATATTAAAAGCAATCTACATTAAGTCTCCTAAATACGCACTGTTTTAAATTAAAATCCTGAGGAATTATGATCTGTTTACTTGATGGTTTTGGTTAAGTGCGGTTTGATGTACACAGAATGCTGTTTCATTTAAGGTCATTCTTAGTAAGGCATATTAAAAACAAATATAAAAGTGACAACATAATATTTAGGTTTTTGCTACAAAATCTTAGGCAAAAAATATTTTTGCATGTAGTAATGGACTTCATCCATTTGCTGGCTTACAGGAGTTAAAATTTGTGCACTAAGCTTAACTGCCCTTGTCAGAATGTACCACTGTGCTACAATGGTGGTCCAAAGCTACATGCTAAAGACTTTGTTTCCGTGCTCAAACATAGCTTGCACAAACTGCTTGAAGACTCTGTCCATGTAAGTGCACTTCCTCGGCCATATTCCTTCCAGAAAACCGATATGGCCTCCGCACGAAGTCAGAACCAAAGCAATGTTTGCATTTTGTTTGGCAGTTTCTACTGGTATAGCTAAAAGGAGGGGGGAAAAAAAGTTTTAAGTCCTTATCCTTCTGAGAAATGCCAGCCACTGAATAATGTCTCTTAAATGTTTCTCATAGTATATATTAATAAATAGGCACAACATTAACATATGCTTAAACATACCGCAGGACGTAGAACCAGAGCTGTGTTAAAAGCCATTTCTCTCTTCAGCATTAACCCGCCTTATCTGTGTGATTTTTCTGTAAAAGTTTCAGAAATCACTGGCCTTCATCCATCTTTCAGTCCCACTGACGAACAGCACCCACGTTAATGCATACTTACGATTTGGTATACGTAGTGTAAGTGAAAGGACAGTCAAGCCTGTAGTTTTTAAACTGTGTTGCAATATTCAACTTTGGAAAAACTGAGGAACTGGAACCTTAACTGTGAATCCCATCGTTTTTGTAGGGGACTCCAAACACAAAACCTTTAACATCACGCTAAGATTTTGTCTGTAAGGTACCCTATCAGCTAAGATTAAAGATTATCCTGGGTCATCACCATCACACCTGATTCGCCATACGCTTACACCTGCACGTTTAGACCACCCCATGCAAACACACTGACAGATGGGTCTTGCCATGAGGAGCTCGTAATCTAAATTTGCAAAGTAATTGGGAAAAGGGGAAGGGCAAACAGCTGCAGAAGGACACAGAAAGCTGCTCTGTGTCAGCCAGTAGGTTGGTGGTTCTCTACTGAATGGTCACTGCTAGAAAATTATTTACTTTGGAATTTAGATTATTAGACCAGATACTACAGGGATGTTTCTTTTGCCGGGTTAGTTTTCAGCTGGATCAGCTCCCTGATCTGGTTCCCCATGTTAACGCCAACACACAAATGGCGCAGTCACAGAATCACAGAATGTTGGGGGTTGGAAGGGACCTCGAAAGATCATCTAGTCCAACCCCCTGCCAGAGCAGGACCACCCAGAGCAGGTCACACAGGAACGTGTCCAGGCGGGTTTTGAATGTCTCTAGAGAAGGAGACTCCACCACCTCTCTGGGCAGCCTGTTCCAGGGCTCTGTCACCCTCAGAGGGAAAAAGTTCTTCCTTATGGTAATGTGGAACCTCCTGTGCTCCAGCTTGCACCCGTTGACCCTTGTCCTGTCACTGCCCATCACCGAGAAGAGCCCGGCTCCATCCTCCTGACACTCGCCCTTTACGTATTTATAACCATTGATGAGGTCACCCCTCGGGTGAGGGCTGCGGTGAGGCGGCCCTTTCAGTGACAGCCTACGGTTGGTTAGCTTAGAGTCATCGGTGAAGTGCACCGGAGACACGCACTGATCTTGAAATATGCAGGGGGGAGGCTTCAATGCCTCTTCTTTTGAATATGCATAAAGGTGTGGCTTAATCAGTGCTATGAGCTGGGCCGTTCTTTGCGAAAGAAAAAGGTCAGTTAGTGCAGAGTGACCACAGAGAAAGCATTATGACTTCACAAATGGTATTTCAGTGTGATGGGATGACACTATTATCATAGGAACTGGCTGACACAACCGTGGAGCTTCATCGAGCTGTGCTGTTTGCACTCTTGATATAAAAATTAAGTTATTTAAGCAAATTCTTCTGGAGTTTTCTAAATATACTCCTGAACAAGCATAAATCTCAATACATTTCAGTAAAGAATGCCTTTCAAAGTGCCAGGTTTTCAAATAATAAAACTTAATGGAAAGGAAAAAAATCATGAAGATTTTTTGATTATTCAGGATTGACAGAAAAAAACAACAGCAAAAGATGACATGCTTTGTCCACACAGAGGGAGTAGTAGGAATTTCACTGTATTGTCTAAAAAAGAAGTTATGATTCCACAAGAAAATAAATCTGATTTTAGGTCATACACAGCTAAAGTAAAAATGCCTCGGCACTACAACACAAAGCAGTGAGTCATTTGCAGCATTTCTATTGCTGCCTCATTTTGAAGTATTTTTGAAGAGAGATTTAGAATTAGGTTCACTTTTGGGGGGTTCGGTTGTCCACAGCCCTTTCTCACTGAGCTTCCTTCAGAGACATGCCCGACTCACTCCTATTTCTAGGAGTCTGCTTTCCTCTACCCCTTTACACATTTGCTATCTCAAAGGCCATTATCCTTGGATAGTCATGATCCCCGCCCATCACTGCCTGCTTTAGGGATGAGTTCCTGACTTTCACTTGGGAGCTGCCAGGCTCGTTGCTGTGCGCTTCAGATGCCAATTTGCCTTTGTTTTCAGCAACTAAAGTAAGAGCACGGCACCCGTTCCCCAGCCAAAACAGGACCCCCAGCCAGGGTACAACGACTGTGGGGAACTGCTGTGCAATTTCAACTCGACCAGGGCAGAAGCACCGGACCCGCAGAGCCGGGGGAGCAGCCTGTGCGGCAGAGGTCCTTACTAGCAGTGCCTGGAACGGCACGATCTGTTCCACTCCAGGGAATGCCCAACCAATCCACGGATGCTAAACCAGCTGTAGCCGTAGCAGGGTTAGTGTCTTGTATGAACGTTGTGTTAAGAGGTTCCTGCCCATAACATAAGGGACATGATTGTGCCCTGAACGGAGCACAGACTGGGCTCCAGAGAGCAACGGGGGTTCTCTTGCAGAGTACATGAGATTCTTGGCTACACAGTGCTTTGCTTTTCTTTCCCTCCTTTCAACGTTGAGTGCATCCAAGTAGTTTATAGATTCCAGCATTTAGTAAGTGATTCTGATGCTTTACTAGGTGGAAGAAACAGTGCTTTTCACTGTTTTCACACAGAAGTCCTTGACCTTTCCTTTGTTCAGCTGGAAAACTGAAAATACTCTATGCAGTACCTGGGCCTTTTAAAGCAATACTGAGGCAAGACTAAAAAGAAAAGTCAATGAAATAAAAGCCTAGGGCTTGCCAGCCTTGACTGGGAAATAGCACAGGCTGAAAACAAGAGGTGCAGAAAACAATGCGTTACTTCTTGCAATCCAACACACGCATCATTTTCAGACTCCAGGCTCAGCAAGCGCTCATCTGGAGTTTTGTCTGAGTTAATCTGCCCAGCAATCTCTGATCTGGCGCCCTCGGAGTCCGCGGATGAACACACTGCTGCGTACAAGGACACTGGCTACAATTCGCACCAGCTTCTGCCAACTGCATGGGAATTTGCCCACTTCTCTGTACCAAGCCATCTGGTCCTCTTCCCTCTGGTAGCACACGGGCCACATTAGGCAGAATCCCGATAGGGAAGTGGGGATCAGAGTCAAGCCCGAGTCCCCCAT